AGAACCCAAGGAGCGCAAGGAGCCCGAGAAACCCTGAACACCCCCGATCCCAGGGAGCCCGGTGAACCCAAAGAGCCCCAGGAGTCCGAGAAAGCCTGACCACCCAGAACCCAGGGAGCCGGGTAAACCCTGCACGCCCAGAGCTCGGCGAACCCACGGAGCCCAAGGAGCCCGAGAAACTCTGAACACCCCAGAACCCAGGGAGCCGGGGAGCCCGAGAAATCCCTGAGGAGCCACCTGCAGGGGCGTTTACCGAGGAGCCGGGGCGGCGGAGCCAGGGACTCGTACCCCCGTGGGGTCCCAAGCCTGGGCAGCGGAGCGCCAGGCAGGCCTTCCAAGAGCCGCTGGCAAAGAGCTCTGGAAGCTCTCGGGAGGACCTTCCGAAGGAGCTTCCAGAGAGCCTCCAGGCACACGTGCTGGGCGACAGTTGCAGAATGTCAGAGGACCCCAAAGGGGGTGGTGACCACACCGTGTGGTGAGTCGGTGGAGATTCGGGATCACCGCGCGGTTTTGGGACTTGGGTCGTTCTCCGAGGATGTCGTGGGCGACTGGGACCTCCAGGGCCCCAACACCGTGTGGTGACGGGCCCTGCGGTGAGGTCTCTGGGGATTTCGGGGTCACCGGCGGGTCTGTCACCACACGGTTCGGGGACTACCAGAAATGCCTTCTGGAACACGCTGCGAGTTCAGGCAGGCCTTGCCGATGTGCTTTCACGGAAGCCAGGACGAGGCTACTTTTTGCGGTGCTGGCTTCTACTCGGATACCTTTCTAGCTCTCTCACCCAGGCAGAGGACCATCCGGGAAGACAGGAGCTGCGCAGGAGCCCCCAAGGAGCTTCGACTGAGTTGCGGAGAGGCTATTGGCATGCGTATTGGGAACGACTAGGAAAACGCTTTCCGGAAAACGCTGCGAGTTCAAGCAAATTGCTGCGATGCTGCTAGACCGGCACCGGAAAGAGCTTCTGGGCCACCCTGAGTTGCTAGGTTCTGATCTGAAGCCCTCTTAGCTCTCAGAGAGCTTTCCGGGAAAAAGAAGAAGCCAGGTCTCTCGCACGACAGAAGTTGTGGTGTTGTGGTATGTGGTGGGTACTATCCAGTGCAATCTATGTGTTGCCAGCTTTGGGTTGCAAGCTACTTGGTGAAAGCTGTATGGCGCAAGCTGTGTGGGCAAGCTACTTGGTGCAAGCTGTATGGCGCAAGCTGTGTGGCGCCAGCTCTGCGGTGCAGCCTGTGTAGTGCAACGTATGTCACCGCCCACCAGACCACCCCGACCCAACCCGGAGGCCCCGATGTGCCCTCCATTTCCAGTGAGGGGGATCGGGGAACGTTGAAAAAGCACATCGGGAAGCCGTGCCCCTCCCGACCCAAGATTCGGGTCTTCGGGGGTTGGGTTGGGGTGGTCCATGGCAGGCAGCCCGTATGCGGTCGAGGCTATGCGGTGCAGAGCTGGATGGGGCACGCTGTGCGGCAGGAAGCTCCGTGGCGGTGCAGCTGGCGCACGCGCGCCTCCTCGAGGCGCCCGCGGGGCGCCCACGGATGGGCCCCGTGCGGCGGCCCGGGGAACACCCAGAAGTGGCCGCGCGAAAGTTCCTCGGGGGCGGAAAAGACGGGGGTGATGACTTAGGGGGGGGTGGATATCATGGCGTGGGCCACGATATTTCCCCAGACTTCATGGCGCCTCTTCTTATTTCATTGCGTCCCTGGCCCCCCCGCTGGGCCGCGCACATGCCGCCGGTCATGATTTGCACCCCCCCCTCTTGGACCCCCCCCCTCTTGGCCGCTCCCGAGTTCCAGGGCCGGGGCTAAAGAGACGGGTCGGAGATTCGCAGTCCTCCTGCCCTGACGCGTCGATTCGCGAAGTGGCCGTCTTCGGTGCGACGAGAGGGCGTCGCGGCCGTCCTTTTTGCGGGTCCAGGTCCGTCGGCTTCGGTCCTATAGGCCGTTTTCACTGAAGGGTGTTTTTTTCAAAGGGAGGTTTGCCCACCGCCGATCGGGGGTCGGAGCAAACGGGGGTCAGCTAGAGCGCCGGCTCTCGCAGGATCCTGCAGGGCCAGGGGTGCACTGACCTGGGTTTGGGTGCAGGGCCTTGCAGAATCCTGCAAGGTCCTGCAAGGCCGGACTGACCCGGGTTGGCGTGGACCCGGGTCAGCGCGTCCCCGACAGGAGCGGCCATCGCGGCGCGCGCGCGCCGCGAGAAAAGGCGGGGTCCCTGGACGGACAGGGGTGGGTCATTTTTGGATGGGGAGGGGAGGGCCTTCGCACGGGAAGGGGGGATGGTATGGCAAGAGGGGGGGGGGCGGGGCTTTGGATGGGAAGGGGGGCGGGCCTCCGGCCGGGAAGGGGGGGGCGGGTCTTTGGACGGGACGAAGGGGGGGGGGGTCCTTTGGACGGGACGGCGGGGGGCCGCTGGGCGGGAAGGGGGCGGGTCTTTGGACGGAAGGTGGTGGCGTCTGGACGTGAAAGGGGGGGGGGGCCTCCTTAGAGAGCGGCGAGGCACCACCGTGCTCACGGTCGCGGCGCTCGCGCCGCCGCTCGCCGAGGCGTGCAGCCGGGGGCTTAGCTCTCGCCCGGCGCCCCTCCTCAGGAGGGGATAGAAACACACACAGACACACTTACTCGTCGACCCCCAGGAAAACATGGGAAAAGATGGGGAAATATGGGGGGGGGGACGACGAAGATCCAGGAACTGTGGGAACATACACGGGGAATCCTGGGATTGTGGGTATCTGTTTGTATGTCGGAGCGGGCAATATTTATATCCATATCCACTGCGTCTTGGACTTCCTTGGAAGGGGCGCCGCAAGGCCGAGGCGCACTGGATACGCATAAAAATCGAGCCTCTTGGAGGCAGATTATAACCCACATCCAGTGCACCTCATGTTTCTTGGGAAGAGCGTCCGAAACTCCGAGACGCACTGGATGTGGATATAGACATTGCCCGCACCTGGACCTCCCCGAACGGTAGCGCCCTCGAAGCGGAGGCCTCCCGGGGGGGGAAATATGGGGGGGGGGGACGACGAAGATCCATAACCCATTGGAAAATATACGGGGAATCCTGGGATTGTGGGTACTTATTTGTATGCCTTGGGGCCCCTGGACCTCCTCCTCCTCCTCCTCCTCCTCCTCCTCCGCCTCCTCCCCTCCTCCCCCTCCTCCCCCTCTTCCTCCTCCTCCTCCTCCTCCTCCTCCTCCTCCTCCTCCTCCTCCTCCTGAGCCAGACCCCTCCCCTCCCCCCCCCACTTCACTTTCGCTCAATGTCGAAACGCCGAACTTGAAAACGCTCGGCACCCTGGCCCTCTCGGGATGGCGCGCCCGCCGATCCTTGGGGCACAGGGCGGGTCCTGTCGGCGGCGAGCGAGAGAGTGGGCGGGGAAGTGGGCAGGAGAAGGCCTTCTCAGAGTGCGGCGGGCGTTTTTTCAGAAGCCTTCCGGCCTTCTGAGAAGTCTTCTGTGCCTTCGGGTGCCCCCCCACTCTCGCTCGATGTCGGAGCGCCGACTACGAAAACGCCACCAGGCCTTCTGCAGAGATCCTTGGTGCGGGCGTTGGTAAACCACTGGCCCAGAGATCGTGCGGCAGCTTCTCGTGGTATCGACCTGCGGCGACCCGCCGCCGGCGTTCGAGCGGAACGCCGCCAGGGACCCAGCATCGGGCGATTCTGAACGATCCTGGACAAACATCCATGGACGTCGTTTGAGTTCGTCGTTTGCCGACCAGCTCCATTCTGCGGGCCACCCGCCCAAGGCAAAAACATCCTACGTGCGACACGTGCGATTTTGATCTCTAGCCAAAGCAAGCCCGAGCGCGCGTGCTCCCAAGCGGGCGGCAAAGACATCATTTTTACGGTAGGAGCTGCAATGCGTGCCGAGTTGACCAGAAAGAACACATGGACGTCCTGGGGATCGAGAATCGAGGCTGGATGTGCTTTTCGCCTACGACTCTTGACCTCCCCAAGTGCGGTCCGTGTACAGTGGCATCCCATGCCAACACCCTGCTTGCCTATAGGGTGCCCCAGGTTTCTCTCGGCATCGCTCGGACGTGTGCATTTTTCCTTCGGCGAGGACCATCGAGGAGCATGCTTGATCATTTGGCGGAAAAGCCACGCACGAAACCGAAACAAGCACACGGAATGGACGTCCGAGCGATGGCGAGTTCTTGGGTTTCGGTGGCTTTGCTATGGGAAGCGTGACGTTCCCACACCAAACATCAAAATGGACGTCCTGGGGCCTCAGGGCTGGGTTTCTTGTGAGAGATTTTCTTGTGGCCTCCCAAACGCGGTCCGTGTACGGTGGGTTCGCGTGCGGCCGGCGGCCTTGAGACGGGGGTCAGTACAAACGGGGGTCAGTCAGAGCGCCAGATCTTGTAGGGTCCTGCAGGGCCAGGGTCGCATTCACCCTGGCTTTTAATGGAGGATGACGATGAATAAATGACCGGGGGTCGTGTTCACGCGGCGGCGCCCGGGATGACGATTAGAAAAAACCGGCCGCGGGCTGGAAGACTATTTTTCAATCGTTCTCCTCCAGTCAGAAAATTGTGCAGCAATAGCAGAAATCTATGTTTTGAATCGTTCTCTCCAATTTTTACTAATCGTCATCCCGCATTAGGTGCAGGATCCTGCAGAATCTTGCGGGATCATGCAAGGCCTGACTGACCCAGGTCTGGACTGACCCGGGTCAGTAGATCCCCGATGCTGAACGGTCTGGCGTTTCGGAGACGGCCGATCGTTCAAGGTTGAACGATCCCCGCGGTAGTAGAAACCAACGCCGGAGTCGGCACGACACCAACTTGCCGTGCTCCAGCCGCCAAGATTGCTGCGCGCAGCTGGCGCGACACGACCAGGAGCACCAGCCAGGAGCATCAGCACGACGTCCGCGGCCATCCTGGCCCAAGCTTTCCAGCGCGGGCCGCGCCTTGTCCCGCTGGCAACGCACGCTTAAGCTACCCCCCGAGCCTGCCAGGGCTGCCGCGAGGCCTGCTGACCAGTGCGCCACCGCTGCTCCCAGCATGGAGGTGGCCCCGCCGGCAGAGGAGCCGCATCCCCTGGACGCCGCTGCGGAGGGCGCGCCGCCGCCGGCCCCGGCTCCTCAAGCAGAGACGCCCGTGCCCGCGGCGTCCACCATGATCGTGGCTCCGCTGTCGCCGCTCGTCACCTCGGGCGACCCCAAGAAGTCCAGCAAGAAGGACGAGCCCTCGGCGCCGGGCGAGGCTCGCTCGGGGCCCGTGGGCAACCCGCTGCTGCTGAAGCACGAGCGCCTCACGGGCACCATCTGCAAGCTCATGGCCGTCAATGGCGCGGGCTCGCTGAGGAGCCACATGTTCGAGGGTGAGCTCGCCTTCCGGCCGGACTGCGTCATGCCGGAGTGCGGGCAGTACCAGTTCCGGGAGGGCGAGCAGGTGGAGTTCGACGTGCAGTCAGACGAGCGCGGCAGGCCGCAGGCCGTCATGATGAAGCCGGTGGTGGGCAGGAAGCCCGCCGAGTGCCTGGGCCAGCGCCACCGCGGCTACGTGCGCCGCTTCGCCGACCGCTGGGGGTTCCTCAATGCCGCCGCCTTCGACGGCGACCTCTTCGTGCACCGCGACAACCTGCTGATGGCCCACGACGCCGGCCAGGACGGGCAGCCGCAGCTCCGCGGGGGGCAGGCGGTCGAGTTCGACGTGGCCCTCGACGACCGCGGCAGGGTGGTTGCGAAGCAGATCACCACGAGCTCGCTCTTGCGGCCCACTGACTGGCTGGGCCGGAGGCTGCAGGGCTTCGTGCGGTCGTTCCAGGGCGCCTGGGGCTTCTTGAACTCCGACAAGTTTGCGGGCGACCTCTTCGTGCACCGCGACAGCTTGGTGCCGCAGTGCCAGGGCATGGAGCTCTCGAGCGGGATGCTCGTGGAGTTCGACGTGGAGAAGGACTCAAGCAGTGGCGAAGCGTCCTGGCTTGCCTATAGGCCCACCAAATCATGTTCTAAGAACTGTTTGTGGTTTTCGACAAAATGTTCTTAGAACATTTCTGGCCGAGGCAGTCTTGTTTTGACACATCCGGCTTGTGTTCTAACAAAATTGCTTTTGATCTTGGAACACTTGGGATTCTAATGACATGTCGTGGTAGGCCTATAAGCATGTCGGGACGTCGGCCCCTGCTCAAAGGACAACCACAAGAAGGGGGGCAAGAACCGCCTCGTGGCGCGGCAGGTCGCGGTCGTGCAGGGTCAGGCCGCCGTGCCAGCCCCGGCGCACTCGCAGCCGCAGCCGCAGCCGGGCATCGACCCCTACGGGTTCCCGCAGCACGGCATGCCGCCGTACGGCTCCACGATGAACCCGGCGGCGCCTACCTTCTCGCCATGCTCGTCCTCGATGTACTACCCGGGCCAGGTGCCATTCCTCGAAGAAGAAGAAAAAACGCAATGAGTATAAAAGTTCGGCGCTCCGCGCGGAGTTCTCGGATCCGCGCTGGGCCCCCCAAGCGGCGCCTTTGGCGCCGCCCCTGGCACGCGAGGGAGGGGGGTCTGGCGCGGATCCCAGAAACCTGCGCGGACATCCAACAGTTTTTATTTATGTGGTTGTTTGTTCCTCTAGGCTTGTGGAAGACGATCAATGGATAAGGGGCATGTTGCCAAAAAAATCCAGACGTCTAAATCATGTGTCAAATATGTCCTTACATTGCTTACTCATGTTTTAACCAGTTGTCGAACATGTTTACAACATTGGGAACACATGTTTAACTCAATGGTAGATCGGGTCGAGTGTCCATTGTCATGGCATCCACATTTCTAGGTCCCCGGGGCCGAGCAGCAGCATCCGCTGGGGGTCGGCTATGGGCAGACGCCGTACCCCTACGCCGACCTGGCGCAGCACTATGCGGCGCAGCCCCCTCCGCAGCCGCAGGCTCCACTACCGCCGATGCCGCAGATGCCGCAGCCAGTCCCGCCGTACGGGCAGCAGATGGTGATGCCCGGGCAGCCGGCATACGGGCAGGCCCCGATGGTGCAGCCGCCCTTGCCGCAGGTGCCGCAGCCCCAGTACGGGCAGGTGCCACCAGCCGCCCAGCCCCCGTACGGTCAGATGCCTTATGGGCAGCCTGGGTACGGCATGCTGCCGTACGGCGCCCAGCCTGGGGCGCCGCCTCAGCAGCCGCTCGCGCCCGGCGTCCCAGGCGCGGCCCATGCCATGCCTGGCGCCGCGGCGGCCGCCATGCCGCCGCAGCAGCAGCAACCGGCCATGCAGGAGTGTTTTTTTAAACTCTCTGGGCCATAACGCGCGTTATGCCCCCTACCCCCCCCCCCCACGACGTAACGCTACCCCCCTCAGTGCGTCCCCGGCACTGCCGCAGTGCGTCCGGCACCACGGTCTGGGTAGGGGGGGGGGGGCGCTGTGTTAATCAAGCTCCCTCCTGTGCCCCCCCCCTCCCCCTCCCTTAACGCCTGTCATGGCAGTGAACAAAGACGTGCGCTCCAGGCCGCCCAGGGAACCGTGCCAGTGGCGGGGCAGCCAGACGTCGCGGTGGCCGAGGCGTCCCCGGGCGCCGGAGAGCAGCCGCAGGTGCTGCTCCACATCACCACGCACGACTGGGAGCCCGACCAGTCCGGGCAGCTCCGCGTCCGGAAGAGCACGCTGGTCAACGTCTCGCACCGCGCCGCGCACGGCTGGGTCTACGCCGCCACCGTCAAGATCGGCGAGAACAGCAACAACGAGCCGCCCGCCGAGGGCTGGGTGCCGCAGGCCGTCGCCAAGCGCGTCAGCCTCGCCACCGCCGAGAGCGACTGGCCGGCGGAGGGGCCCGAGACGCTCGGCCTCGTGAAGGGTGACCTCATCGCCGTGTCCAAGGAGGCGGAGCGGGGCTGGGTGTTCGGTGAGCGCGTCAGCCCCAGGCGGGACCCGTGGCCGCTGGAGGGGTGGCTGCCGAAGAAGATCCTGAAGTACGTGCTGATGTGA